ATGTGTCGTTGGCCCAGTAGCACCAAGATTTGTGGATATTAGGTGATAAGATCATTCTTGACAATCTTCAGAAGCTTTATTGTTGTGATTAACGGGTGGTGGAGGGAGGGAGTTGAGAACGGGGCGTAGAAATGAGAAAAAATCGCAAAAATTTGAAAAATACACGGAAAAATCCCAAAAAACGGAAAGATTGTTTGCGTTTGTAAAAGTGATTAGTAGGTATTCTTTTTGTTTGTTGGTTGCCTGTGTACCAAGTGGTGATGGGCTGGATTGAAGCAGCCAAACAAGTCTAAATAACGTGCCTATCCGACTGTGGCGTGGTTTCTGGAGGGATGACACAGCTAGTTGCTTCCCCTAGGTCTTCTCCAAGTGGTTTGGATTTAAAAGGTGACTTTTCCAAACGGGGTTAGTGCATGGAGGGGCAGGAATCTGAGAAAAAATTCCGAAAAAATCTCAAAAAATGTCAGAAATAGCTAAAATTCCCAAAAATACGCAGAAAAATTTCTAAAAAGCGTGAAAAACGTGGAAGATGAATCAGAGACATCAAACTCCCCCTTAGCTCAGTGGTAGAGCGCGTCACTAGTAGTAAACAACGAAATGACGAGGTCAGTCGTTCAAGTCGGCTAGGGGGAATTACCTTTTTGCTTTTCCGTCGTTTGTTCCCCACAGTCGGATGAAAGACAGCCCCGGTGCGTACAGACCTCGGATTTTTTATTGGGTCTGAACATCCCGCTCAGTGGTAGAGCACGTCACTTGTGCAGACTGCGAAATGACGAGGCCGATTGTTCAGGTCGGCTAGAGGGAAGTACTTTTTTTTTTGGGCTCGCTAGCGTTTTTTGCGGCGGATACTGAGGACGAATGACGATCGACTAATGCTTCTTTTGGCAAATCAATAGTAAAGCCGAGTTTCCAGCGATGGAAAATGTGACTCATATGGAGTGACGTCTCGAGGTTGTGGGGCAGTAGTGGAGCGGCGACCACAATGATGCTGCGTCGACACATCAAATTATAAAGATAAATTTAGCACGTTTGTGTGACGTCGGCCATTATCGACGTACGTACTTATACGTCTATCCGCTGTCAAGGGAGCCCCAGAGAGCTCTCGTCCTACACCCACCTTTTGACCAGACCACCAGACTACCGCCGTGGATCCAGCTTCCCCTTCAAATATCGCAATGGACAGTTTCATGAAGAATGTTGCCCAAGACGAGGCAGACTTCAATGCCCAAAAGTCTCAGCTCCAAGATGAAGTAGAGATGGGCGAGACGGCGGCCAAGATTGCGGCCAAGGCACCCGTGAGCCCCGAGACAGTGATTGAAGGCATCAAGACTGCGCGCGAGATCAGTGAGTACTCGTTTATTCGAGGTCTAAATCGTGGCAGTGACGGCATGGCGAGGCTTTCAATTACTCGCTTTTGGACACTCAACGCCGCTCATCATGACCGTTTATATTGACCAACCATACCCTCCTTTTTGCCATTTCCTCAACTCTCACAGATGAAATTGTAAAGGATTACGCCGTGCCGTTATTCCTTGCCGTAATCTCTCTTGCTGCTGCGTTCATCGGTTGGAAATATCTCGACGTTGGCGCAAAGCTACATTAAGACGTTTGCTCACCTGACACCATGCCCGTGCGACGAGCCCAGTATCCTCTCTCGTAAGTGGTCTCAGTGCATGAGTAGCTTGTCTATTTACCCTTTCGAGCGTGCACAGTGATGGGACGGTTTGCCGACCCAATATCTATCACGTTACTCAACCATTTTTGTATTTACATACTGCTTGAATGATCTGGCGCAATCCATCATTGACAACCCTGGTCAGAGTAATCACTCATCGATTTATTCGGCAAGGAGGACGCTCGGGCAAGAGACGAATAGGATGCATGGCCTTCATAAGCCGAGCATAACAAAAGAAGGTATTGCTGAATTCACTGGCAAAGTTCAAACAGAGGATAACCACCCTAGGTTGCTGCGGAGCGTGATTGGTAAACGGCCACGGAAGGCGGGCCCATACCCGAAGGGCACAACGGTGCTCAGACTCTGCGACGGCGTGCTAGCCAATGAATGGAGCCGTATTAAAGAAATGGATACACCGAGACTTCTTTAGTTGCGTGGAAGATGGAGGTATATGCTCTCAAGAAACAGATGCCTATTGATTTATAACGGACTGCGGCGCGAACCCTAGCCAATTTATGCCTATGACATTAGAAGGGACGATTTTAAAATCTCTCGGTCCCGGAATATCGGCAGCGGAAGGACGAGTTGGTCATTGTCTCGAGAAAGAGCTTACTGGCATCGTTTGCAAAGACCATGTGACGAAGCGTGACCCGAATCGCGGCGGCAGTCACACCCAAAAGCACGCGAGCAAAAACCCTTTGGTAACGACATCATTGTTCTGTAAGCAAATCGAAAATTCTCTCGGACTTGGTATCATCCTTCGGAATAGAACCGAGAACCCCGGACCGATGTCTCCCGCCCAGCCCGAGTTTCTATGGTGTCTCTCCCCACACAAATCTGTTCCACACGATTTTTGGCCTGGGTTCCATTTGAAAATGCTGAGTCTACCTAGAATCAATGCTTGATCCCTGCTTAGTTGTCTTGATCCGTAATGTATATTGGAAATTTGGAATGACTCGCCACCTCCTGCCGATCCCCTCCGATCGCTTACCATGGGCGCTGCGTGGCCAAAAAATCTCTCTGCCTCAACGATATAAATGCCTCGCATGCACCATCAATCAGATCCTAGTCACCATCCAAACTCTCCCAAGGGGACTGCACACCAGAACCTTGTCTCATCCAGTCTCGCTGCGAACCACTATTTTGAGCTCTGCGGCCTCTGCCAAATAACGTCAGTCTTACCTTTGACAGCCCATCTCCTTAAAATTGACTATGTATCCTTAGGTTGCCCAATGACAGACTTTGAACATACACCTCTACCACTTCAGCCCACCCTTTCCAAAGAGCAAAAGGACCTCATTTTCGGTTCTGCTCCACTCCTTGCCCCTCAAAAGTATGGCCTCAAAATCACCACCGAGATGTACAAGAACATGCTGGACGAAAACCAAGCACTGAAGAATGTCTTCAACCTCAGCAAACAAGCTGTGAGTATCGTCACTGGTCCTTGTGAAGTTTCTTCCCAGGAGAACCCTACCGATATAACTCATACCGTTCTTCTCCCTCAACCATAGTCCCTAGGCCAACAATTCGCCCTCTCCAAGGCTCTCGAGGCATATGCACTAAATATTCACGACCTCAGTCCTATTCTGCCCGTTGTCATCTCCATCGCCAACAAACATGCGTCGCTTTCTATCGCGCCTTGGATGTATAACGTCGTTGGACACTACCTCATCGGCGCGATCGTCACCGTGCTCGCCAAGGATAATATCTTATTTGAAGGTGCTCTTATGGCGGCGTGGGTTGACGCCTATTGGTACTTGGCCCATGTCTTTATTGGCCTCGAGGCCGACCTATACAAGACGGCTGGATGGTCGGGATGGAAGGAATTCAAGGTCATGAAGAGGGTCCCTGAGACCCCCGATATAACTAGCTTCTATCTGAAGCCTGTTGATGGGACTAGTTTGAAGGCTTTCAAGCCTGGGCAGTATATCTCTGTTCAACTCACCGTCGATGAGCTAGGGTGCAAGCAATCTCGCCAGTACGTCGCCCTTTCTTGTTATTGAATGGAACAAGAGAAGTAATGGTGATCTCCCAATCATCCTTCCTTAGGTATTCCCTTTCCGAATCCTTCGACCCTGCCTATCTCCGCATCTCGGTTCGCCGCGACCCCGGTGCAAAAGTTCTTACTGCCTCGGGTGCTGCTGACCCCTCCACCAACCCCGCAACCCATCCTGCCTTCGTTTCGAACCTTCTCCACTCCAAGGCACTTGAAGGCTCCACCGTCGAAGTAGCCTCTCCCTTTGGGGAATTTATCCTGGATGACTCGACGTTTCCACTCGTACTCATTTCTGGTGGAGTTGGGGTCACACCTGTGCTTTCCATGCTGAACACAGTTACCAGCGCAGGGGCCCCGACGCGGGAAGTGACATGGATCCAGTCCGTCCGCACACTTCAGGATCATGCCTTCCGTAATCACATTGACGAACTCGTCGCAAAGTACCCTAATAAGATTGCCACAGCGACATACTATACAAGCCTCTCCGAAAAGGCTCCTGAACTTGACTCCATCCGTGCAGAGGCACTTTCGGCTGCGCCAAGTGCTGACCGTCAGCTGTTTGGAGGCCACATTGCTCTCTCGTCTGACGTGGGAAGGTTTGATGCCAAAGTCCTACATCTCGGAGACGGGGACGCCCAATATTACATCTGTGGACCTGCGGCGTTCATGGATGTAGTGGAAGTGCAGCTGCAGAGTCTTGGAGTGGACGCGAAGAGGATTCATACCGAGAAGTTTGCTGGTGATAAGCCATCATTCTAGACATCTCGGGCCAACGCCCATGACCAATGTACACTATAACGTATGCCTACTCTCATGGTACAATATAATATCTTAGGTGTTTATTCAGTCGCCTTTGGGCGGGGAACGCTTCTCATAACATTCGCATATTGTGGCAAATAGTATAGGCTTGCAGAATCGCTAGTGAACCATACATGCAGGCTATTTGTATCAAATGACAAAGGAATCGAGTACGGCGAGCCTCTTCAAATACATCTATATGATACAGCCGGCCATAGGGCTCCCGTAGTGCGCCTAAATCACGGAAATTTGCGGAGCGGCCGCCATAGTGACGAATGCTCTCAACATCCGGTCAATAGCACCACCATAATAACCGCGATAACAGTAACTATGAGTGTTGCGCACAAAGCACGGTTTGGCCGAGTTTTTGTTGCACCTCCGTTCAAGCTCATGCTGAACAGAAGAAGCAAAAAATGTACTAGTATCCTGAAAAAGTCCCCATTCATTGTCACGAACGCCAGGGGGCAGCGGGCAGAATGGAACGTACTGGAGAGAGTCTCCACTCCACCCGCTCGTCACAGAGGCTGCTTAAGATCTCTGCGAGAGAGACTAGATTCACTTGAGAACGAGGCGCATGATGATGCTCGCGCGTGGCTCCAGAAACTAGAGTATATCTCCCAGCCGAAACAGTAGCCTATTGGGCCACGTAAGTACAAAGCGGTGCCTAAGGGCTGGCGGACACGTACAGTGTCTCGAGGATGTAAAGAGGACGGAGTTTTTATAGATTGGGATCGTCGCACTGACGCCACGCGACGTTCCAGGCGAAGCCACATCTTCTCAGATTTGGTAGAGTGATGAACCTCCAGGATGACAAAATAATGATCTGGAATGTCGATGCACTGATGGGAGCTCACTCTGAAAGTCTCTATCGCAGTAATTATAAATTCTTGGTCGCTGGGATCTGCGAATATCATGGTAATAAATTCAATAAGAGGTATGGTTCGTCCTTGAACAGATTTGAGAAGGTGAAGCGATTTGACCAGAGTGGGCGAAATAGGGACGGATGGCATCTCTTGGCAGTCTAGCGGGCGAGAGTTGCTAGGTGATATGGCATCAGGTGTCTCTTCTCAGCCATCATGGTTGAATGTACACGAACCTATGGACCGGCGTATCAGTATTTCTCGCCGAGAGATGATTTAATGACCATAGGCGCTCTTGGATCCG